TGTGTGTCAGGCAGCACCTTGGCTAATAGGATAGATGGGATGAGATGAGAGAACAGCTCTGTCGATAAACTGACTGTGACAAACTTGGTGTTTAGCAACTTGTGTAGGGCCACAGCTGCTTTGATAAACCTATGCATGGGGGAGCTCAAAATTGGAACATGCTACCTCAAATACTTCAATCCTAAATGCTAAAGCTTCTAGAACAATGTATRTAGATACAGTGCATATAGTACAGAGGCAGCTAGTAAACTTGTGTCATATCTTCCCAGTAGCAACAGCTCATGTACTAATATATTGTCTTAAAAATAAAATTTAACATATCTATGCACATATATATCCGCGTGCATTTATGTATATATCTAAATGCATCCTTTAAACTGCACAATGACCATGATGTAGGTAGATGCCTGCAGATGCATCTTGTTTTTTGAGTGTGAATGGAGGATGCATTTGTGTACTCCAGGTGGTCCAGCAGTGCTTGACCCTTTATATCCAAGTTTTTCCAGCGTCGTGCTGAGGAAGGCATTAAATTAGCAGTAGAAAAGCCAAACAAAGTTGAATTAATGTAATGAGTTGCTGCAGTGATGAGCTGAAACTACTTTTTCAGTAAGCTCCAATTCATTATTGGACTCCATCAGATAATTATCAGTCCCTGTGAGTACCCACGTGCTACCTGATGCCTGTCTGCTCTTCTTGTGCTTGTCCAATTTAAAAAGGCACACTTGAAAACACCAGCTGTGCTGTGAGAAGGCATTGTTTATTAATGCCCCACAAGGGTGTTTTTCTAGGAGAAGGTGCTTTTTAATTTCATTTTTGTACTAATTATCCTCAGTTATGAATACTTTATACAGTGGACAGGGATGTTTTGTTGACTTTCATATATGCAGACTGTCAAGATTAGCACACTGTGTCGATAATGTAAGAAATGACTATGCAATAAATACAGCAAATCCTCACTGTATGTGGATGGGAGGTAGAGCTTTTGCAAACAGAGTCATCAAAGGGTTTCCACTGGGCAGCAAAAGTGCCTTTTGCATCCGACTGCTACTTGCATCGAATGTGCCAAGGGTTTGAGGCCGGTCCCCCATGGTACCTTCTCAGCACTCGCTACCTGGCAAGGAAAACTGGTTTATTTATTTATTTTTGTTTTATTGAGCTTGACGCTTCGTGAAAGTAAGTTCATCCTGTGTGTTYTTGACTTTCAGCAGTCATGTTCAGGTGAAGTAGGGAACAGAAAGCACCTCCATCAGGGCCAAGCTCGCTGACTTCTTCCATGAGATGTTCTCCATGTGGCAGGTGTTTTATTAAACGTAGCACACACTTTCCTTTCCARTCAGACTAATGTCTTACATTGCAAGATAATGAGGATTAGATATTTCAATGCCATGTAGAGAAACACCCTTAACGTACATGGTAGTTCCCAGGTTAGGCGTCTTCTGGGAGTTGGGATTTTGCACCCTACAACAGCAGATGGAAGTCTCRCCACCTGGCTGGTTCCTGGGTTGGATGAGGAGATGCTTAATGTGGGGTTTGATAACTTGGTTTTCTGTTAAAGCTGATGTTCACCCAACACCTAATCAACTAACCACCTAACCGACTATTGGTTAGAAGTTTGGGGGCTTTTCCCTCCCCGCATCTATTCCTTTGTCTTTTTTTTTTTTCTTTCTCCCTTAAAATCTCAGCTCTGAATTCTGAGTAGCCAGTTCAACAAATCCCACGCACAATGTGCCTCGTTCATCCTTAATGGTCCATCCGCTTCAGCCATAGTGGCTGTGGAAATGCACTTGGGATGGATTTGCAGCTCCATGTTGTCAGATTAGTTCTGGGACAGGAAATTAGGAAAGGAGCCGTCTTGGACCCCGTGGCTTTGAGCAGTCCCGTTGCTGCCCGCTGAAGGGTGACCATTTTTCAGATGTTAATTTTGCATTAGCAATTTAAGTGTAACCTGAGACTGAGATAAGGAGAGGATAGGGAAAATGAAGATTGATGTCCTTGATARCTCTGCATTTGACAATTTTTATACGTTTTTGATCAAAAAGGGCCAATTGTTCTTTATAGCCAAGTTGCAGTCTTTTTGGGTAATTTTTCTACTTAGATTTAAGCATAGATGCATTGATGAGATGATTCCTGAATTGTTTTGGAAGCTGGAAAGCCTTCCCAAGCAAGAATAAAATCCATTGTAGCTGCAGTTTCCCCGACAAGGTGATAGATGAACTTCTCGCATGCCTCTCYGATGCTTTTCACTCTAATTTCAGCAATAACTAGGTCACCCAATTAATATTAAGCTCAAGATAGCAGGCAGTGTTAAACAGGCAGTAGCATTCACAGCAGATTTACTAGCTGGTKTTTATTTATCACTTAACACCAGTGATTGTGAATGATCTCTATGGAAATGACTCATTTCAGCAATGTCAAACCTCAAGGCTTTGGTAAGCTATTGATTATCTGCTAGTGCATGATAAGGGTTGATAAAAGGAGTTTTAACTCTTTGGCTGGGTTTTTATCAACTCTATCCTTTCCCTTTTTTTTTTTTTTTGCCATTGATGGTCTATCTCCCATCTGCAGTCTTCGGAGAAATAGATCTATTTATTTTTCATTGAAAGGAAATGTCACTGAAAAGCAGCGAAGCATGGAAAGGTTAAAATTATAAAGACACCATGTTCCAGGTAATTAATTTTTATGTGCTTGGGACCACGCGAAGATGGCACAGTTAATTAAAAAGAACAGTTGGTAAAATGGCCGGGAACTTGAAGATGTGAGTACAGGAGGCTGGGAAGTGCTCTCTGCCTTCTCTGTTGATGCAGATATTGATGTGGCCTGGTGCTGAGCTGTGTCTGGCAGGAATTTGATGGTTTTAAGGGTAGCGCCTTAGAGCTGCCTCTGGCAATTGCCACCCGCATAAGACACGGAGCTGGTGGCCAACCTGCAAACCCAAACTGTTACCGACCCTGGCCATTAGTTTCGGGGATGTCGTGGCTCTGCAGCACTTAGTTATTTGGCTTTCTTTGGGCTTTCCTTGCATTTCTTTTTGTTTTTTCTTGGATATTTTTATGCATCATCCTGTCTCTGAGCAAGRCACTTCTGCGGGGTCCTGCAGCTTTTAAAAAATTCAAGCGTGTGTCAAATAGATCTTCTTTTTTTCTGCCTATTTTAAGCTCTTGTCCCTCATTACGTTCTTAAGAGTTGAATTTTTTAACGAGTTGGAAGCGACAGCGAGTGGGTGATGAAGGACCCAGGTTCTTGGGAACGGTGGGAAGAGACCCGGAGCAAGAAGCAGATGCCGGACCCAGCCCTTGCAGGAGGTGGAATCTGGAAAACAAGGAGCCGGGAAATGACTGACTGTTTTGGGAAGAGGGCAAAATATTTAGGCATGTTCATGCACTAGCTCTGTTCCTGTTGAATTAAATGGTCAAAGTTAATGAAATGGGAAAGATCAGAAAGTGTCCAGAGCCACAGGGAGAGCTAAATGCTGTTAATAGGTTTATAAATTCCAGTAAATTTCCAAGGGGGAGGAATTGCTGTGCCAATGTGGAACAACATCTACCTTGGGGACAGAAAGTTGGTTCTTGTTTCCTGCACTGAGCATCTGAGATGGCTGCAGTTTTAACCGATATGTCTGTGCCTTGGCTTGGCTTCTGTGGCGTTAGATCCTTTGCTATTTGCACTGCTTTACTTTCTGGGGATGTTTTTGCTTTTGAACCGAAGACCTACATATAGCGGCCTTGTTAATTTGAGTTTAAAAGCGGCCTTGTTAATTTGGGTTTAAAATCTGATTTTTATTCATGTTACTTTTTTTCCCCTCCCGTTTCAGGCATATGTGAATCCCATCGAGGTAATTCCACCGATACAAGCCATAGATCAGGACCRAAACATCCAGCCTCCTTCGGATCGACCGGGCATCCTCTACTCCATCCTAGTAGGTTGGTGTCTCATCATCTAGCTCTCACCGCTCTAATGGGAGCGGCCACAGGAAGCTTCTCTGGGAGAGTAGAAAAACGTAATGAAAATATTCATGCTGTGTTTAGGGGAGTGTTTGAAATCATTGCTTACTWCTTTAAGCTGAACTGCAATTTGGAAGCTTCCTTGAAATGGTGTACTATTTATTACTATATATTGTTTGCATTGCTGTTTTGAGCTGGGTGAAATAATTGGGGAAGATCTGTTACAGGAGCAGTTTTGTTTTAGTTTTGGGATTGTTGCTTACAAAGGCTGTTTTTGCCCTGGTCCTCAAAATGTTTCCTTTTTGGAAAGCTGCCTTCATTTTTGGCGACCTACGATGCTATTCATATTGGAGTCTTTATCATGGAATAATATTAAATAGTTTTTCAGGAAATAGTCCTTGCAGATATTTTTTGCTATAGGGGTTTCTTTAGCTCTCCATGCACCTCTTCCTTGTGCCTTCAGGTGTGTCTGTCTTTTTAACGCTGGAAGGTCTAAATTGCACAGGAATAAGCTCCTTAGGTGAAGGAGGGATTGATTTTTTGAAGTCTATTTTCTTTGACTGAGTTTTAATTTGATTCTGCTGCACACCTTTCATCATCACTCAGGCTAGAAACCCTGCATTTCTGTAGGCTTTATAGCAGAGAAATGACTCCCTAGGGATTTCTCGCTGTTGCTGCTGTCTAGATGTACAGCAGCTCCATGTGCAGAGATACTCGCTGAATATTCACGTGTATATATAGCACATATATATACACAGCATAGCCTGTGGTAGTAACTGCCACCAGTTTTAGTTGCTGTGTGTGAGTTTGGGAGATCTGCTGGGCTTCTAAAGGCCATTTCTAAGCTGCAAGATGAGCAACCACAGCACCTGGAAGAGCAACTGGCCGGACACAGCAAGGACTCGGCCACCCCCGTCCTTGCACGATCCACCTCGGGCTCCTTGGTGGCTTCATGCTCGGCCTCGGGCTCCAGCTGCTGCTTTAACTCTCTTGGGGAGTCTCCTGCAAACACGGTGCTATGAAGGCCCCATTACCTGATGACCATGCACAGACGCTGCTAGGCAGCTACCAGATTTCTCTTGATACTTCCTCTGTGCTGAGAAATTTCTTGGAAGCTTCTAGGATGTTGTACACATTGAGAAAGCAGGGCTTCCTAAGTGAAGAGGATAGAAGCAGAAGGTCAGTTCTTTATGTGTCCCTTTACCTTGGTGCATTCCAGCCCTTGGAACCCAAGAGGTGGCATTGGAAGCGCTGCCCGTGGGGCTCGCRCTCCTGTTGTTGGCAACTGCACAGATGTCCCCAGTTAGAGAGATTCTTGGGATTAAGAGAGATCAAGGTAATAACCATGGTATGAAGCGGGTAATACTCATAACGTTCCCAAGTTACCTGCACACGTTGTCATATCTTACCCTCCTGGTAACAGGGTTASGTGTATGATGAGTGAAGGGCACAGCGTTTGCCCAACGCTTTTGGGAACAACACTGGTTTTTCTCTCGTCCACACCTCGATGCTGTCTTGCAGGTACCCCTGAAGACTATCCCCAGTACTTCCACATGAACCTCACCACTGCCGTGCTCACGCTCCTGAAGCCCATCAACAGGGACCTGCACCAGAAGTTCGACTTGGTTATTAAGGTAGCATTGAGCAACTTCTCGTTTCTGTGTGCCTTGGAAAAACCTCTAGACCAAGAGTGGAATTAACCTGTTCGAGTTTTGGTTGCTTGTTTTTAACTGCTAGGTATTAACAGAAAAATGTAGCTATAGGGGAGAARGATGTTGAGGTGTTTCTGAAAAGGGAGTGAATCATGATTGATATATTGCATTTCAGGTTGTATTAAAAACATAAGAATCTGTACGTACCATTTGTGCATTTGCTTTTTTAACTCCATTGCCACGATAAAACATTTGCTTTGTATCTCATCTTTCTTCATATGTATCTTCAGGTTTCATTTGTGTCTCCATTGGTTGCGGGGTCGCATGTTTGCAAGCTCAAAATAACTGTAGCATCTGCTACCTTCTTGGCCAATTTGAGGCTTAAAAATAGGTGATAATATCCACATTTAATTATTAAACATGTCAGATGTTAGATCTTGTAAGTTCTTAATTGTCCTTGGAGTGAAATTGTTCGCAGAGGGAAGGTTTGCTGCAGATGGAAGTTGCATGAAGGGTTACTGCATGACGGGACTTCAAAATTCATTTTGGCATTAATGTCCATTTGGAGTTGTCCCTACAGCTGTTACTTAATGCCACCAAAAATTGTGTAGGCTTTGATGTATTCATTGGCGGGCATAGGAGCAAGGAAGAGAGTAAGCAATGCAGGAGGCCGAAGCAGCAAATCACTTGTGTATTTTCCATCATGTTTTAAACAGAGTGGATATTCCCAGCTGCAGTGGTGTCCTTTAGCATAGCTCTGTTTTATTTATACGTATCAATATTTCTATCGTTTCACCCTATTATAAACCTGGGAGCTGTTCTTCCAGGCTCTTACAGTTTATCCTAGAGCTGGCAGAGGGTTAGAGCCTGCCTGAAGATCAATGCGTGGGCATCAAGAGGCCTGCCGTGGTCTCTCAGAAATCATCCGATGAAAAATAATCCTGTCTCCTTCAACCTGGAGGCCCAAAGTGTTTCTTTCAATCCTCTGAGAGTGGGTTTATATTTTACAAAGCTGCCACGTGGTCCCCAGTGTGCCCACGGTGACCCCCTTGATGTGACTTGCATCAATCCTTGGGTTATTTCTAGCATTTATTAAGCACAGGAGAAGGAGGGGCTGAGATTTCCAAGCCTGCTYTGAGCCTTGCAGGAGAGGGAGCAGTTTCTCCTGCCTGAATGGTAAATGGTTTAATGCTGTGTCATTCAGGGGCCTTTCAAAGCAGTAAAACACCTCAGATTTGTACCAGGAAACAACTTTGAGCATTTGCTATGTCTTTCCAAGTTTGCATTTTTGGGCAGTGCTGAAGTCGTTGAATCCAAATCTGTTTTCTCTGGAAGGGTGGTGCGAGCGATGTTCCTCTTCAAACAGCAAATAGGCTCTTTCTACAAAACTCCTTAGATTTACCCTTTAAAATAATCTCTCTGATATCAGGTGATCTTTTTTTCTTCACCCTGCTGCCAAAATAATATGAAAAAAGGGAAATGGAAAGAATGGGATGCATCAATACAGGTTGCTGAGAGCAAGGCTGGTACAGCCATCTGTGGCCTGAAAACCTGCGTTTCTGATAAATGTTTAATTCTCAGGCAGGAAGACAATCGAAAAAGCAAAACTTTTTAAAAAGGAAAGCTGCCTTTTGGCCTCCCTGCGGGCTCTAGAAGACCTTTGAAGAAGAAGTATGTATTTTTAATCTTCTGCTTTAGGAAGAACAGGAGCTCTGAGCCCTGAAGCTCAGCAGCTCCTTCCTCTTCCCCAGGGAAGCCCCTTGCTCCCTTCCAGCCACAGGGCCTTTTCCCAAAGAATCTTTGGAATCTTTCCATTTCCATCTGTGTAGCTGATGAAGAGAAGTCAGCAGCTTTGCTTGTCTTTCTGGAAGAAATGACCATTATTCTGTAGACGGGAGACTGCGTTCTTGTTCACAGCTCTAAAACATGTCAGGGAGGGTTTGATTTCTTTTTGTGTATCATAGGAAAAAAAAACAGGAAAATGCTGATCTAATGGATCTTGGATGAGATCCAAGATCCTTTTGGGTTACAGCATCAGTTATTTATCAGACAGTTGAACCTGGCAGCTCTATGAAAACCCATTTGTTGCATCTCTGTTAAGACCCCAAAAGGTCCTACCTGAAGACACCGACCTTGATGCAGTCAAACTTGTAGTGTAGGATATTTTACCCCTTAATGGAGAATTAAAGGAGAATAAACATCTAATATCTATTTATCTAATAGATCTAGCGTGCATTTTCTAAGCAGCTGCTATACCGCAACCTCATAATAGATGCTGGAAGTCACCTCACATTCTCTAACACATAAATACAGGTTGGTGCCCAGTAGGTAGGGAAGGATCAAGAGTTTCATGCATTTGGTATTGCTGTAGAAGTTGTAGGAGTTTTTAAAGAGGGAAAAAAAGGCTTTGTAAATATTTTGAGGCTGTAGAAATATAAGCATTTTGGTTTTACTTTATGGTGATATCACTCTACTCTGCATTATTTACCTAGGAAAAGCAATACTCCCGTTTGCTCCCAGTGTGAGGGAAATGCATGCACCAGGGAATCAGAATTACAGAACTTGTTTCTCTTGCAAGCATTAACCTTATACTAGTGATTAAAAAGAGACTTTGCTACATACTGGAACCCAAAATTGGAAAAAAAAATGAGGAGGAAAAAAAAAATCTTTTTGTGTTGTTATATATAGATTTCTTTGATATGCACATATGCTGGGAGGTTTCAGTTAATTATGTGTAGTTTTAAAGTATGTTTTGGTATGGTCTCTAAAGCTAATAAGATTTTGCCATGCATCTGAGAGGTTCACAGCTCTCATGGAAGAGCACCTTGCAGGAGAGTATTGCTTTTTGTGTCACAGTCGCTTGGGATCCTTGGTGGCTTCTCAGCCTTGTTGGTAGTAGGGGTAGAAAGGTGACACTGGGTAAGGGGAGCTGGGCACCTTCCCAGCGGAGAATTCCATTGGTGTAAGGAGCAATCCAGAATTACGGGTATTTCAGGAAATGCCTGAGGTGCAAATACTCTGCAACTCCTTTCATGCCTTTTCTGACTCTTCTATTTGTCACCTTGATGCACATTAGCTCTAATTTCCTGTGTCTTCCACTGTTTCTGAGAATGCTTTTCCCTGCCTTTAAGAGGATTTCTGCCTGTTCTTCGGCCCTATCTGTTCTTCAGGGGTTGCTCATAGGGATTTGAGCCGGAAGAGTAATGGCTTCTTTACTAGAGTTTAATCAGTGTGACGAATACGYTATAGCTGGAGTATATAATGCAAATACCGAGGTGTTTATCACTGTGAGCTGCAAGGGTGGGCTGCAGCGTTGAGAACTTCAGGAAACCTTCCCAGGGATCTCCACGGAGCAGGACTGTAGGAAGGGGCCTCTGTGGTGAAATGCCTGTGGTGACATTTTCTAAATTTTGTGGCTTTTTTCTTATTACTCCAAGTACAAAGGAGAGAAATAACATGCAGCCCACGTGACAAGGCTTTGCTAATAATACACTGCTGTTTTTCTGGAAGTTCTTCTAGTTTTTCTCTTTGGTCTCTCCTGATGTCCTGGCACAAGGGCAGAGACGTTAAAGGATGTAATGGGAAACTGAGTAAGAAAATAAGGGCAAAAAGGTGCAGGAAGACACTGTTTAACGAACTTTCCATTACCTTGATAATGTATTTCTTTTCTTATCATTAAAAAGTCTTTTTTTCTCCAATGTTCCCACATACCTATTGAAAATAGCATGTTCTTCCCCGTGTTTGATAGCCTCTCAGAATGACAAGCTGTTTTCCTTGCACTTAGAATATGAAATTACAGCTGTATATTAAATAAAACTCAGTTAAGACTGGTCCTAAATTGTGTTATTAGTCATAGAGCCACAGAAAGATTAAAATCCTTGGATTATCATAATAGATAGATCCATAACTATTTATAGTTACAGAAATATCTGTATTTCCTTTCTGCAGCAAAAAGGACTTTTTTTTTTTTTTTTTTAATCTTGTTCATCACTTAGGACTTGATATAATGACTTCAGAGTTGGTTTAACTGAAAGGCCGAAGAAAGGTGAGTTTTATGATTTGGAAAGGTGGGCAGCCGTGAGGATCACTGCTCATTGCTCTGCAGTGTCATGAGCCTCAGTGGTACTGGAGTCACTTGCCCTTGACACATGAAGGAAAAATAGATATTTGGGTTTTTTTTTTTTTTAGCCTACTGTCTAGACACATTATGTGGCAATATCATTTCAGTGCCACATCACAAGCTTCACTGACCATAAAGTCAAATTTCTTCYGTATCTAAAGATACTCTCTACTGCTTGTCCTTAAGCCAATTTTTAATCCATTTCTGCCATTTTTCTTTATCCTCTACTTTCTGACCTTGTAAATTAATCCAGTGGATGATACTTTTTTTACAACCCTAGCACTTTTCCTAAATCTGGATAAATTATGACCTAGTTTTTGCCCTCATCTCCCATTACAGTCATGAACTCAAAAGACACGACCGTCCTTTTTTTTTTTTTAATGGATTGCATATAAAAGCCATATAGTACTTCCATGTCCATCAAATCTGCAGTCAAGTTCGAGTGCCTGAAGCTCCTGGGCCACCTTCTTGTCTTGAATAGACAGCCTGACCTGGCTGGCTGCAGGTCCCTGGCCCAAACCTCTAAAATTGTTGTGTTTTGCAAGCCACGTTTTGTGAAAAGGAGTTCATGTATTTTGGCATTTCCTCATGTTTCGGACACTGTTAGCTAAGTTTTATATAGGATGGTGACAACCTGCCTTCATTTTTGTCTTTTCTGGGGGTCTGCTGTAGGATGCGTTGTTATTTTATACCATGTTTTCAAGCTTTTCAGCACAGTGGCGATGGGAACACGCCGTTTTCCAACGGGATTAGCAAAGTGATATTTGACTTTTCAAACTTGCCACGTGCATGACACCAGTTCCATGAGCAGACAGGAGAAGGGTGTATATGTACGTTCATGTGTATGTGTATATATAGTATTTGTTGACCCTGGTGTTACAACCACCTTAGTTTGGTGGAATCTCAGTTTAAAGAACCCTGATGCGCATCGTGCAGGTAGCATRCAGGGACCTGCTGAGTTTATAGGGGTGACTTTCATCTTGGGAAGTGTCACTGTGAAGAAGTTTTCAGTGTACATTTGCTTTTGCCTTTTGAAGCTTCCTCATGGCTGAATATCTTCATTTTTCTCTGTACTCGGCAGCCTTCTCGAAGGGGAGAGYGAGCTGTAATGAACCCGAAGAACCRGGGGGGTGGTTCAAGTCTGTACAATATTGGCAACCCTTGGTAGATTCACAGGTGGGCAGTCAAGTGCATTCGTCTTGAGAAGAACCCAGGTCTTCTACCCAAGGCCAGTAGTCAACCCAAGATTGAATAAAGCTAATAGTGAAAGTTTTCCATTATTGCTAGCTTAAGAACAAGTAAATAAATGAGGCTGTTTTAAATATCAGTGGCTTTTTATCTGAAAGAAGCTTAAATTGTTCACAAACGATTGTCTTAGGAAGCAGAGGTGCTTGACCTGAGACCAGCAGACCAAGCGGGAGAGCATTAACAGGGCTCAAGGAAACCACCACTTTTTCCTCCAGTGCTGGAAGTCCGCAACAAATTGCCCACTATAGGAGAGCGTGTCCTACAAGCAAACAACACCAAAAAAAGGGAGAGAGAAGTACAATTTATGGCTGTCATATATTTATTTTTGGAGCATTATCAGCAGYATGCATCAAGGGCGCATAAACCGTTGCCAGCATTGCTCCTGTGAATATATTTGCATAACATATGAAGGCAAGGCCATTTTTCACGTTTGCGTAAAGAAAAAAGAAGTCTTTGTGTTGARGAAAATAAAAAGTGACTTTCAGAACAGATTCTTGTGAAAGAGCATGATGAAAAGTAAATACCTGGCTTTTTGCTAATCTGTCTTTTAATTTTGCATTTGATTTGCTGGACCCGCTGTTAAGGTGCAAAGCCCAAGATGAAAATATTTGTGTGTTCTTATGGCTTATACCAACATGACTTTGGAAAAACCACCCAAAAAACCTAGAAGTTTGTTTTCCCTTTCAAATTTTGGCTCCGTCTTTTCAAAAGTAGCATATATTTGTCTTCCATCCCTTGTCTGTATATTTGCTCTCACAAATATATGCCCTGAGCTTTCAGATGTGTGACTATGTATTAGGAGGATCTGAAAGCAGATATTTGTCTTTGCAGAGTTGGTGCTTTATCTTTTTACTGTGCAGAAAGATTCCAGGTTATATGAAAGACACCAGCAGCCTGTAAAGTTTTGGATTGAGGTGTCTACTGCAGGGGGAGGCAACTCTTGTTGGGGTTATTCCCATGTGTATGTGGTATGCACATGAGATGAGGTGATGCTGTATGAGCGGGCAGAACTTGGTAGGATGAGGTCCTGCAAAGTGAGGACTGCTAATGGAAATCAGGGATTTTCCTTGCAGTCTGGAAGTGGGGAAAAATAAAATTCCATGTGTCTAACATCAGGAAAATGAATATTTTTGGACAAAAAGAAAGAAAAAAATAGTAGTATTGTAACATGTAGCAAGAACCATCTGCCCATAACTACTTTCAGTGTTTCGCTTGTGTAGCAGCATAGGTGGTTTTACATTGAATATTGAGGAGTTTCCAGGTTTATTTTATCCGTTTGTGTAAAACAGATGTTTTTAAAACTTGTRATCTCAATGCTTTAAGGCAGATTTTTTTTTTATTTGCTATCTAATTTCTGATATTTCTTTTTCTCACAATGCCAAGTTTTGAAGTCATGTGGCCTGACCTGGGGACTAATTATGTGTGCAATTGGATGGTCATTCTTAAAAGCAAAGCCAAGCCAAGCAGTAACTGTTTGCAGCACCTGAGAGCCTGCAGTAAAGGAGTTTGTTTCTCCCCTTGTTTTCAGGCCGAGCAGGACAACGGCCACCCTCTTCCTGCCTTTGCCAGTTTGCACATAGAGGTCCTCGACGAGAACAACCAGCGGCCTTACTTCACGCGCTCGACATACGAGGGCTTTGTCCTCGAGTCCTCCCCCGTGGGCACCACCATCTCCGAGAACCTCAACCTGACCTCGCCGCTGGGCCTTGTCGTGTTGGACAAYGACGTGGAGGAGGTGAGCTGCTTGTCATCCCATTCCAGAGGCGTGAGCTTCCATTTGCRCTTTTTTTTGGATGGTGGACGAAGGGAAAAACAGACGGATTTGGAGGAGGATGGATCTGCAATGGGGCATGGGGAAAGCAGGAAGGAAGAGGTCAACAGGACAGAGCAGAAGGAGGACCAGTAGGAGAGCTGGAGGCCAAGAGAAGTATCCATTCCTTGTCAAGATTTTAATATTAGCATCCCTCGTTGTAAAAACTGAACTTCAAAAGAGTAGTACAGCAAGCCCGTAAGGCTACCTTTTCTCCCTCAGGTTTCCTTGCATCTTTTTTTTTCTTTTTTTTTCTATTTTTTTTGAGATTTTGTGCTCCTCTGCATACCATCATCTCCCTGACTTCTCCCTTCTCTCTTCCTTTTTATCTCTGTTCTTTTTGTTCCTTTTCTGTTCTCTTGTTGTCTTCAGGCATCTAAGGATGCTGTAGGCCTGTTTTTGTAGTAGTATCTGTAGTGCACACGCACACTGATACCTTTTTGGTAAAACTCTTGACCTGATCTGCTGAAAATGACCTTCTGGTCRTCCAAGCTTCACTTCTGGCATTGTAGAGTCTTTGCTTTTGAGAAGTTTGCTGTTCTTGAACCAGAGTTGACTGTGAGTTCTTCCTTTGCATGGCCAAAAATTGAGTTACAGCCAGAATTATTCCACTGAATAGTTTTGCTTATTACTGACAAGGCTCCGTGTTTCACATATTAAATCCAATGCCTCATATTTGTTCCACGCCTGACTGCCAAGGTTTTGCAGTACGCTCAGAGTCTTAAAGGAAGAAATCTTGCATTGTAAAAAAACTCCACACTTTTCTCAACCGTGAAGTTGCGCTGAAGCTGGAAGATTTCCTTTYTCAGTGTCCCACATGTTAGCACCATGATTTAGTGACACTTAAGATACGTGGACCTTCTAAAAGGAGCTTTTCAGCACTGTGGATGCTTTAAAAAAAAAGGCCCTCACGTTCTGAATTTAAACCTTGAGAGAATTACAGCACAGCCTTATTATTGGCCTTGGAAGAATTAATTCGTAGCAATGACATGGCAAACAGATCTTCAGCTGGAGCCCTGTTGTTCTTTAAAATATATATGTGCATTAAAATACATATATATTTGTATAAAATATATATGCAAGTTCATAAAGTGTTGAGACGTGATCAGTGTTCCAACATTACTCGGTGTTTCAACATGTTGCAGCAGGTCTCCCCCTCAGAGGAGAGCTCGCAAGCTAAGACTGTCCCTCCCTGGCACTCTAATAGCCATATTACAATATTTCAATTCAGAATTCATTCTTGCTTAAAAAGGAAAAAAAAAATCTGAAAATATCTTAGAAAAAAATCTGGCAAGCGATGCACCTTTTCTTTGTAGTTGCACTTGTGCCTTTATTCTTCTTTTTATTATTGGCATTAACTAAATAGCTAAATATTATTGAAATATCCAAAAGAGTTAAATATTATTGTTTAAAAGACTTTAAATAAAAGGGTTTAAGGAGGAGGAACTCCTCCTGGTGTGCCTTGGACAACATCKTCTTGGACTGTCTTCCCTCCCCCACTTTTACTTTCAGCTTCTCAGCTTATTTCATTTTTGTTTCTAACAGTAGTTTTTCTTTGGTTTGTTTGTGTTATCCAAATKCATTGCTTTTATAATATGCCTCAGCAATAGCTTTGCATTTCTTTGCTCATGTTCATTTTCCATCGTGTATTTTTGCCTTGTAGGTCGTACCAGGTGCCATTCCCGTAGGTATTGGGTGTTGTGTTTGCAGTATGATTTTTTTTTTTTCCATTTTTTTTGTGTGTGTGTGCCCAAGTCTAGGGCCATTTAAAACAATTAAAGATAATAATAATAAAATGAAAATCTCAATAGTGATGGCAGCCTTGCTGGGTAGTTTCCAGAGTGGCCTTCCCTCCTGGTTGACACCATTTATTTGTGTTCAGAATAGTGCAAGGGGCCAAATCTGGCCCTTTGTAAATGAGAATTTTTAGGCTGACTCTGCAGTGTCTTCAAAAAAGACATTATTGGCAGTTGACAGCCCTAATTTTCCATGGGCAAAAGCGATTACCTTTTGCATTGCTGGCCGTAAAGGGCATTTTAATTGTGCTGGCAGGAGGAAGCCCCGCGCTGAGGACTTGGCTGTTGCTTTCACATAGCTTTCAGCAACCAAAAGGGTTTATCATTCCAGTCATATAATCCTAGGCTGCCAAATTGTGGCTCTGCTGGGGTGTTTGGGTTTGCTAGAATAAATTTGGCTTTGTCTTTCCCTTGTCCTGATCCCTCCTCGCAGTTACTTGTTACTGCATCGAATGCAGGGTCRATGCCTCCTGCGATACTGCGATTTATTGACCTGGCTTTGGGGTGTTGAGCAGTGGCAGGAATAAGGGAATGCAACCAAGCCGCTAGCAACGTTTTGGATATCATTTCAGAAAAAGGCCCTAATAGACTAACAATATTTTTTTGGATGACTTGTTGGATTTTTCTCTTTGTAGCTGTGCTGCATGTCTTGCTGTGTGTGTGTGTGTGTGGAGTGGGGGATTGCGTGGAATTACGGTGGAAATACCGGCATGCAAAGCTCTTTTTGAAGTTATATTTTGTGTGTYGGCAGTTATTCTCTGCTATTTTTTATTTATACTACTAGCCTGTTTGTTCTTCATCTCTGTTAGTTGGGGCTGGTTAGGACTCTTTTTGCTCTGTTGTCACCTCTGGAAGAATAATGTCTTGGTTACGTTACTTCCTATTGAAAGCTATACAGAAGCTGTAACTATTATTTTGATGTGATGAATGAAGAAATTACAAGTGTTTCATCAATATACTGAGATTTTTACACAGGCGTGAGCAGACTCTCTGAATAGTGATATCTCTGAATATTGTTTTAAAGCCACATGCTTCAACGTGGGCCAGTAGCTTCGTTGCAGCCACTCAACTGTTTTATTGCAGCTTTAGTCACGATTGTTTCCATTTTTTTATTATTGTTTTTAATATATCTTATGACAAAGGCTTGAATGTGCTTCCATCTTACTGATAAACAACCCTTGACTTAAAAAGCATCTTTTTAAAGAAAATGAAAACGCAACGTGTCAGCCTGGCAGATGTGGGTATTTACTTACTCTTTTGGTTTCCTTAACCTGCAAAGAATATTTAGGATACCTCTTTTTTTCCCCCCAAGAAAATAAGGTGGGGTGTTTTTCCCCTGTTTTATTTTATTTTCTTCCTCTCCAGGGTGTATTACTGTATTGCACTTTGTACTTATTTAGTTTCCAGCTAAAGCAAAAGCTTGCATTAATTTTGTAAAAGAGCACTTGAAGGCAGGTATACGTAAGTTGTTTTTTTTTTTTTAATAAAAAGAATTTACAATAAAATACTCTATTTTGTGACCTTTCAAAGACGAAGGACCCTCAGCTGCAGCTCTTTCTCAACGACTACACCACGGTGTTCACTGTGACTCAGACGGGCATCACCCGCTACCTCACCCTGCTGCAGCCCGTGGACAGGGAGACCCAGCAGCTCTACACATTTTCGGTAAGTGAGAAGCACCCGTGGGGGCCCGTGGAGCTTGGCTGAGCACGGGCCAAGCCCTAACCCTGCAGCTTATTGCGATGGCCTGAGGATGAAGAGGAGGAAGGAAGTGTGAGGAGTATCATAGTGCTTGTGCCCTACAGGCTCAGCCTGGACTGCAGCCTCCTGTCCCTGTCCTCCCTTTTTATAGGGGGAACAGGCGCTATGAAATACAAAATGAACAGGCAAAACAACTGCAGACAATTATTATTTTTGCAATTATTTTCAATTCTGTTTTATCAAACGYATTTTGTTCACTTGAGAGTAACCACTTAAAATATATGGTTGTATTTCCATCATTTAGTGGTTAATATTTTTAATTCACTGCGCCTTTCAGGGAATGGAATTTACTACCCAGTGTAAACCAAAAGGAACGAGTAAATAGAGCTTTTTAGTCGGATCTTCTCACAGTTGCAGTGGGAGGTTTGCAGCTAGGCTGTGCTGTTGCAGCCTGTTCCCCTTGTGTTTGCCCCTCCTGCAGATGACGGCGTCCGACGGCGTGCAGGAGAGCGCCCCGGTCACCGTCCACATCGTGGTCATGGATGCGAACGACAATTCCCCAACGTTCTCCAACATCTCCTACAGCGTAAAGGTCTATACGGACATGGGACCTGGAGAAGGCGTCATAAAGGTGATAGTAATTTTTACCTTCTGACTGCCCCTGAGCCATCACAATGTTGTTTTTCCTGCCTGTTAAATCTGGAACCAGTTCAAATGAAATATTAAAGCAGGGCAGGTAAGATCAGTCCATTAAAAAAGAACCTTCTTTGTGATTCTTTTAATCACGAAAAGTAGGTTAGAAAAAGAACAGTGACCTCRGTGAATCTGAGTAACCTGACCATATTTTGCATGCAAGTACCGGCTTGCCCTTAAGTGTCCGCTCAGGTTGAGATGATTGGAATGATCATCTTCTTCAGCTTGAGGATTTCTTAGGGAGTTTTATCCCCTCTGCTTTTATAGGTATTTTATTCAAGTGGAGTAATGTAGCTATAGTGCAATAATATAATTCGAAGAGGTCTTTTAAATCCCTCCTATTATATATTTTTTTTCTTCAGATACCTCTTACTTCTATAGGAATTATATAGCAAGCAAGATCCAAAATATTAAGCAAGAAAGTGAAAGACTTGCTTGGGAAGAGTGCAAAGGATATAGAGATAATTTTTTGTGTGTGTGTATTTACATTATGTGTGTGTGTGTATATATATATATGTACATTCTGTTTATAGAAAAAAATCCTGAGCCACCTTCATGAATGGTGGCTTATGTTATTATTTTCCTCCTAGACCCTCTGTACTAAAACTCTGGAACAAAAAACAATCATTTTTAATTTATCTATGCTAATAAGTTATTGTGTATATAAGTAATAAGCTATAGTGTTTATATTATGTTACGGGGTGAATTAGGGCATTGCCTGTTTAGTTTGTGAGTGCCAAAATGGTTTGCCCTTGAGTCCCTCAAACATGTTAGTTTGGAGGTGCTGTTGGGACATTTAATTTCACAGATTTCGGAGTAAACAGCCCTTGTGCCAAAGGCCAGAAGAAGAAGAAAAGGGGAATCATGACATGGACGGTGTTTTCTGTCCCTCCTACATTCATCATTTCCAGCTCTTTGTGTACATCTTGCCTGCAAATCACAAAAAAAAAAAAGAGGAAATCTTTCATTCAGGTGATCTCCAAACCGCCTGCTAAGGATTCATTCACATGGGTATTTGCAGCTGCTGCTCTGTGGTCCATGGCCACATCAAATTGCAGCTGCCAAATAGGTGGCATTAGCAGAAATAAAAATAAAAGCAGGCTACCTTTGCATTTCTCAGGAAACACAGTGATCTACCCAAGGAAAAATATCATGGACAGAGATTTAACGAAGTAGCTGAAGCAATGCTCATATTGCACTTTTTTAGTCCAGATTGGGTTGGAGCCTTGCACTTGCTTGCCTGTGGTGTATTTTTACACAAAATGTATTTCTGTAACCTGGTTAACTCTGAAATTCTGTCATCTGGGACAGCAGGAGAGCAAATTTCTGGGGTCATATATTATGGCAGCATACAAACTTCAGGTCGTTTTGCCCTCAAAACATTATTCAACCCACTTATCTTTGCAGGCATTCAATATTTCTAAGTTTAATTAACCCAACTAATTTATGCACTTGTCTATTCAATTAATTTCCCTTTCTGCGTCATCTCAGCGAAAGCTGGTGTTGTTCCTGATCTTATAATTCAGCATTTAGGATGTAAAGYCCTTATTTATCTTTTCTTTGTGGGCGATGGTTTTGATGTTCAGCAGCAAAGGCTGTTGCAACACTTTTTGTTCAAGGATGTCACTTGGGTTGGTGGATCCTCTTGGCAAGGTTCAGGAACTCAGAAGGTAACAAGCGATAGATTAAAGGCACATAGAGCTTTAGATCTATTTGTTTTCTAATTTTTGAAGAGGAGATGGTGTCTCTTCTCAGTGCTTCATGATTTTGGAGGGTTTTGTGTGCTTAATTTGCAGTCAGCTTCTTAGGGTCCACCTCGGGAAAGCATGGATGAAGTTCTGCTCATCCAAGGGCAATAGCAGTCAGTTTTGGTGGGTGGAGTGAAGCCTCTGCTGCAAAGAGCTCTAGCAGATGGGGAATACTCTGGAATAAGATGCCTCCTCCACATTAGAAATGCTAGATCCCTCCTACAGAAGCTCAGTCCTCAGAAGCAGTCTGTGCTCTGAACTATGGATGGTGGAAGGATGTTCACCTTTCTGAGGTGCAAACATCTCATCTTTGTAAACCATGTCCAAGACTATCCCGTTGTTCAATTTACAATAAATATCTTCCCTTTTTTTTTTTTTTTTTTTAAAGAAGCATTAGAAATTCCAATCCGAGGAGAAGAATTTTGGGCTAAGTAATTTTTTGTAGCTCGTACCTTACTATAATTCACACGTGGACTTTAGTAATGAGGTTTTCTGTGTGCCCTGTGGTTTTCCCCCACCTTTCCCTGCCCCCTTGCACGCTGCAAGCCCTGGAGGCTGGGCAGGGAGTGCTGACACCATGGTCTGAATTGCAGCTCTCCGCCGTAGACGCCGACGAGGGACCCAACGGGCAGATTGTGTATGAGATTCTGGCCGGGCATCAGGGAGACTTCGTCATCGATGACCGCAGCGGCCTTGTGACCATCGCTCCGGGGGCGGTCCTGGCCGTGGGGCGCTCCTATGCGCTCACGGTCAGGGCGTCCGACAGCGCGCCCCCTGCACAGAGAAGGTACCTGGCCTTGAGATGAGCGTTGTCTCTGCAGTCCTTGTGTAGCATTAGTAGGATGGCCTGCTGTGCTATTTCTGTAGCTCTGCACTGGAGGAGGCCTCAGCATGCTCTCTGTGGTGTCATCGTGTCGTTTTGGACGAGCAGCATGAGAGAAACTAGGTTCCTACTTGTACCTTTTGACCCTTTGCAAGGCAGAAATTGAGGAACGGAGGAGCTGAGCACTTGCTGTTTTGCAGCAAGGACCAGAAATAGGCTGATGGCTGAGCTGGAGACCTTCTGCACAGGTTTCAGATGTACAGGGTCACCCTGGCTTGACACGTGGTGGACACAAAATGACAAACCACCAAATGGTGTTGAAATTCTCTTAGGCATATTTCCCCATGCACCCATGTTTTGCCTCCTGAAATTTTGGAACGTCTCCATTTCTCCTGAAGCAGTTCCCTCTGTCACACCTAAAGCTTGAGTCCTGTGTGGTCTTTGCAGGGTTTGCCATGGGTGTGAATGGTTCCAGCAGATCTTGGGCCTTGCAAACTCGAGCTCCTCCTGTGGTCTCCTCAAGCTTCTGGGTCAGCATAGCTGGAGGGTTTGGGTGGCTTTTGCAGCTTGGTGGCTTCTCCTGCTTTCCATGTCTCTGAGTTCAGTGTGAAGCACACTTAGACATGGCTAAGGCAAAAGCAGTGTCGATGCAACCCATTACAGACTCGGGTTCATTGATCATTACAGAGTGGTTGAGGTGGGAAGGGAGCTTTGGAGACCATCTCACCCATCTCCCCTGCTCCAGCAGGGTTCCCTAGAGCACACAGCACAGGATCGTGTCCAGGTGGGTTTTGAATATCTCCAAGGAAGGACACTCCACATCCCTCCTTTGGGCAACCTGGTCTTTGTCCAGTGTTGTCCTCTCCGTCATCATTTTTGATCTTTCTTGTCCCCACTCCTCCTCCCCAAAATGGAGCAAACTGTACAACGGAGTGGGATCTTCCTGGGGTCGATGCTCTGCTTGGCATCATGAATTGGTATCCCCCAATCTCACATTTAGAGGATGCAGTCACTCCAGAGAGTTGGAGTATTTCTTTTGACCCAAAACGTGCTTAAGCACCTGGAGGTGTTCTCCTGGAAACTCTCCTAGAGTTTCTTAAGGGAGCTTGGTAGGCCTGGAGACCGTATGGTCATAAAGCAAATATTGCAAACAGACAGATGCTGCTGTTCGCCTTGCCATGGAGTCTACGGATTTTTGACGGGCTTTGTCTTTTTCCCTCCTTGCAGGAGCTCCATCACCACAGTTTACATCGAGGTCCTTCCACCCAACAACCAGAGCCCTCCCCGCTTTCCCCAGCTGATGTACAGCCTGGAAGTGAGCGAGGCCATGCGCGTCGGGGCTGTGCTGTTAAACCTGCAGGTACGGAGAGCGCCCGGCCAGCCCTGGCCTAGTCACCTCTGCTCGTGTCCATGGCACACAACGCCCAGGCCCAGCACCGCCACTTGGAGGGGGGGGTCAAAAGTGGCTTGTAATAAATAGCCATTTTCATGTATGTAGCAAGAACATCTGCTTTGATGTTTCTGAAACTTTAGGGTATATTTACTGTGGTGAAAGGTAAGCAGAAGGCTGCGCATGTAAATGACCATCTCATGATGGTTTCTCATGTTTCATGTTGGCCCCAAAGCCAAAACAACTCATATTTTCTTATTTTAGTATCTCTCTGTATTGATTTGCCAGTGAATAAAAGCAGCTCAGGGATTTCYACACCCCATTGCCATTGAGTTTCCACTGGATTTTAGTGCCCAGCCTTCTTCAGCTTGCTGTTTTATGCAAGGCAGCTGAAGAGGGTTATTCCCATTGATGCAAGCACGTTTTCATTGATGGGTTACTTTGCTGTGCGGCGCTGTCTTATTGCTGGAGCAGTTTGTTCCTGGCTGGTCTCCCYTTCCTGTGCCTTGCAAACCACCTGTGCAGCATAAGCAGCCAAGCTGCAGTCCTGATGTGGGGGTCAGGGCCTTGGTCCCRTTATGAAGTAAGTGGCCTCCGGACTGCCAGGCATGGATTTGTGAAGAAAAGAGGCAAGTTTTTGCCCTAGATTTTGTGTTCTTTTTCAAGTAGCCCTGGTAAAATAGCTGAAGTAAACCTGGGAGATGAAAATCTAAGCAAGACATGRGAGATGCAAAACGGTCCTGCCAGCTGCTTTGCTTCTAGCCAGGATGCTGGTGAGCTAGTGACTCCCCTCTTTGCAACGCCACCAAGATCCCCCTAAAGGAGCAATTGCCACGTTCAGAAAGGAGGGAGACACATCCCTTGGCTTCAAGGGCTTTGGAAGCTCTGCGGAAACGCTGTCATCCCGTTATTACCACTGCAGCGGAGATTGATCTTGTGTGACCAATATGTTGTAAACGAGCTGCATTCAGATATATAATTGTTGTCCGTGAAAGAATATTTAGCCGCTAAATCACRAATATGCACAGCAGCTTCATCTCTGGCTCTTCCTTGTGAAAGGCTGGCAGCTCTGGAAGGAGAATGCAGAGGCACTGCCTTTATGGTGCTAGTTCAGCTGCCTCATTCTGCATTAATGTGCCCATCTGTATTAAAGGGCTTTTACTGTGCACAATTCATTTCTGTCTTCCTCTTTTCTTTTTTGTTCCCCATGTAAAATTGGTCAGAAGACTTTAAACATTCATAAACTGAGCAGTATTGAAGCTTGTTAAATCTTGTGCTGTCTTTTCCATGCAAACACCAAGTTATCTGTTGGTCATCTTGTATTTTTGAGGTATGAAAGAGGAGCTTAAAATAATCCCCATAAGTAGGTAAGACAGAACGTAACAGTCCTTAAAGCTTCACGTGTATATTTTCAGGCTGACCTTTGCTTTCAGGAACAGTATTATCAATATAATAAGGGTTAAGGATTAAAGGCCTTATCTAAAATACTACCAGCTGGTTGTGGCTGACACTGTAATTAACAGCATTGAACACGAGCACTGCAATAGTTAACGGTCTGCACCGTTTAGTTTGTAAATAAGTCTTGGAGTTTATTGTGTGCCTGGGAGGTGTTTATGGCTCTGTGCTCTGCCAGCCATTGCTAATTAAAGTCTGCAAATAATYTGCTTTTTTCCTTGCTCACGGGACTTGTTGTCCTCCTACAGAAGGACATCAGCCTGACTGGTTTGAGGTGCCTTGTTCTTGAGCCACTTGGCCTCACTCTTGGTCATCTCCACATTGCCGTCTTGGTTACTTGCAAGTAGTTTGGTTGATCTTGTTGCTTTTTAGGTGATCAGGCCAAAGCTGTGGTCTCCACCAAATGCTTCAGCAAGATGGATAAGGAATGGGGAGCGCTGTTGGCCTATGGGTGGCCCGTGGATGGTCTCCCTCCATAGCTTCACTTGGACTCCTCTCTTACTGGATCCTACCTGCCACTCTTAGAGCTTGTTGTTTGGCCTTGTAACGCTTTAATGTGTTTTAGTGCCTTTACCCTGTGGGAAAGCACTTAACTTTTGAGATTTAACCTTTCGTGCTACTTAACTTAGCTGACCTCTATTTTTGTTTGTTTGTTTGTTTTCGTTTTGTTTTGTTTTATCCTGAAGGCTGTGGATAGAGAAGGAGACCCCATCAGATACCTCATTCAAAACGGAGATCCTCAGCAAGTGTTTAACCTCTCGCAAAGGTAAGTTGATAAACCTGAAACTCAGCCTGGAAACTTTAAGAATTTTAGCATCTAGGACTCACTGATGTGGAAACACTCCATTAAAAAGAGAGTAAGTGGGGTTTAATTAAAATCCTTTATACTTGTCAGCACTTTGCTAATGACATGGACAGTATTTACTTTAGCTCCCTACTTGGAGCACTGCTTCAAAACAGCTTTTTCTTAAGACAAACACAAAGTTAATCACAGAGAGGGAGAGAGGGTTTGCCATGAAGTTATGAGCAACCAGGTAAGTCTACACCTGCCCCATCTCCCTCTAGGTTATGCCCAGCTAAAAAGGCTAACAGGTTAAAAGCTAAAAAAGGCTCCCAGAGGAGCTGCTGTTGTGGTAACAGGTTGTGTTTCTGTTTCATTGCTAGCTCTGGACTGCTGTACTTAGCCAAGCCCTTGGACAGAGAGAGCACTGACCGCTATATTCTCATCGTTACAGCCTCAGATGGCAGACCAGACGGGGTGAGTTTTCTGCAGGGGTTTAAGGGAATGTGCTGCTGTGACGTGCACACCTGAGGAAGTCTAGGGATCTGAAATTTTATATCAGTCTTGATACAGTGTGTCTATAATATGCAATTTTCCTTGACCTCAGAAAGCTTTTTGGTCAGTACTTCCTAGGCTCTGTTGGAAATGTCTTTTGATCCTGAAGCAAAGCGACCTTGCCACTACACTTGCCTTTTTGTAGCTTTTCAGCAAAAAATGATGAAGCTAAAGGTTGGTGATGCAAACGTGTGCTGCTGCTTCCCCTTTCATTTCTGTGCTGCTAGTTCCAGTCTTCCCACTTAACCCTCTTCTAAAGATCAGTTAGGTGGAGAGCTGTATCCTAGACTTGTTATTTATCCAGTCAAATGCATTAAACCTATTTCAGCATTTGTCCTGGAAAACTTTGTACAGATTTTCATATTAAACAGTGAACAGTCATATGGAGATCTATAGTTATAGAGGTAGTGAAAACAGGGTTTTCTGAAAACCCACAGCAATACCAAGAGAGGAGCATCCTGTAGTTGGACTGTGCAAGACACCTGGGAATGCAGCAGTGCTCCTACAAGCTCTGTCATGGAATAATAGTGCAGAGGTCTCATTAAGCTCAGATACCTAAAATCATGTTTGGCACTTCTTCACATGGTGTTCCTGCACTAACAGGGTACTTTTTGTCACGTGTGAACTGCTCTTCTTTCTTGATGGCTGGGAGTTTGGGAGCTTTCACCTCTAACTCTGTGCTGTGGAATGGGGAGATTTAAGTAAAACATGCCTGTCTAGCACGATATTGCACCGCAGAAATCCTTTCTGAAATGTAGGTTACGGAGAAGATACTCGTGTCCCTTTCATGTAGAGATGCATTTCTTCTTTCATAGGACTGAACTTGTCATCTGTCCCCTTATATCATTCTCAGAAGGATGTTTTAAAGGAATTATAAATCACCTGGCATGATGTAAAGGGCTTAGAGGTGTGGAAATACAAGTAACACATAATGGTAGAGATGGCCCAAGTGACGGTAATGATCTGATGTTGATGTTTGACTTCAACATGTGCTTAACAAAGAAGTCTCCAAAGTGTGGAGGTGTTGGCTGCCCTTGCCTCCTGTTAGGACAGGATGATGAGAGGTGTGGGAGATGTTATAAAAGTCATCTGGCTTTTATTTTATAAGTAGTAATCATTTAATTGGACCATTTATTTCCCTCTCCTTCTAGTCATAGACTAGCCTAAAAGTCTCTAGCTGATGAAATGGCCCCATCTTCTCACTGGGGGAATACGGGGGTGCCTTGTTTCAATAAGCCTGTAGGATGTCATGAGGGTTCTTTTCTTCTTAACTAGTTGAAAGTGGAAGATGATGGAGCAGATTTAGGATGGAAAACTGTTGTTATGATTACAAAGCTACTATGCCCCACACTAATCCACCTACTGAAAAATGCCATTTAAGGCCCCAGGAAAAAGAAGGATTTTCTGATTGAAGAATGTTTGAGTTTCTCTAAAATGGCAAGTTAATTCAGGAGACAAAATTGTAGAGTCTGTATTTCCATTTTAGGGGCTTATGAGCAGTGATCACAAGATAAATCAGTTTGGGAAGGGCCCTCGGAGCTGATCCGGCCTCCTCCTCAAGGCAGGGTCAGCTACGGCTTTGCTGGCAACTTCACTGTGAATCAGAACACTTAATTCATGGCCCTCAGGAGCAAGAATGTATAAAGAGGATGTTAAAAACTCCTGCACAGTGGAAGAAATACATCACATAAATGCATGCCAATATGGATTCTTGCAACTTCAGCCTGAGACATTACAAGCAGGACTTAAGGCGTTTAAATATATATGTCATTTTTTAATTGGATTCTGTTGTGAGCAAAGATTCTGGCCATTATAAGCTAGACTTCTAAGAGACTTCATCTGATTTAATTCATTGTAAAATAATAATAATAAGGTCCTAAGCACTGCGTTGGAGATGGAATATTTCAGATGAGAAATACTACCATCCTTGGCTCTGGCTGTAGCTCTCCGCTGGGATGAATGGTGTGATAAGTGAAGTTCCTGCAATGGTGGTTGCCAACACTAACTTTTTAAACCCACAAATTTCTGTTTTTCTGATCTTGCTGGGGCCCAAATGCTTCACCTGCAGCTGCAAGCAGCATCTCTGGCCCTGTGTGATGGAGATGCATGAGACAGAGCAAACTCCACACCATGAGTTACCTGTCTAGTATGCCATACAGTTCCAAAATAGCCTATTTCTCCATATTTGTTAGGCCGGGCTAACCGTTCCCATAATCTGTAACATCTGCTGAAGGGAGACTTTTGCATCTGAAACATCCCTGTTGGCTGTGCCCCTGAAATGTGCCATGATGTTTCTCCCCCAAAAGACTTTTTAACAGCTTTCAGTTTAGGCCTACAGCCTGCCTGACACTGTTACCCGCTTTCCAAGGCCTTAGAAAACCTGGTGACTGCCTGAAATCCTTGGCTGGGCTTCCAGAGTTCCTGTTGTTCTGACTTAGGAGCTTGGAGCATTAACAGCCCAGTCTTTATCTGACCTTGAAGTTGCGCTGGATCTGCCACCTGTCCCTGTTAAGCAAGCAATTAAGCGCGTGTTCATTAAGTACTCGGGGAAACATCCTCATTTCCCAAGTAATGAGGCTTAGTTGTAGATAGGCGGGAAAAGATGAGGTGAACGGAAAAATATGGCAAGCTCAGAATCATTTACACAGCGTCTGGTGCCCATGGGTGGAATTTCCGGGCAGGATCTATCACTTCTCTGCATTTCGGAGGGACAAGTCAGGCATAAAAATATATATATAATGTTTTTTAAGGCAGAAAACACTATTTGCTCTTTAATTATGTCAGTTCATGTGCGTGTATGTATTTATAAAGAAAAAAAAAAAAAAACATTTTATTGCCTTGGTACTTGAACAAAAGAAGGAGGAATTTCAGTTGATCCATTAAATAACATAGGGATAGACCTTGGTTCCCGTAGCGTTCAGAGCAGAATTTTAAGCTTGAAGACCACCACATACAAATGTCCAGTCCCGAAAACACAGGGTTACAAGCTCCCTACACTTCAGAAATACACTTCTGCTTGGCTTTCAAGGTGCCCATAGTTGCTGATAGGGTCACAGTTGAAGCTGCCCGGGTTTTGGAGGGTTCTTCCTTCATGCATTTTGTTCCTCAAGCCAACACGTCAAGTCAACCAGCAGCCACCGAGGGAAACCAAAATAGCCCTATCTCAATGCACCATCTCCATTYCATCGTGCGAGCTACATCCGGGCATCCTGGCTATCTTAGAAGAGCACTAATAATTARAAATTATAATAGTTAGTAATTACTAGTAACAGAGAACATGCATCTCGTATGACTCTGGAATTAATTCTGCTCCTTAGAGCAAGCAAGTAGGGCTCGCTTGAGATGGTTCAGGCCAAGATGCGGTTTTCCAATAGCGTGCAGAGCATTAATTAATTACAGTACACTTTTTGTTACTGCTGTACCTACCACGTATATCTGTTTCCTTCACTGTTAAAGCTAAAGGAGAAGTGGGGCCTTCAGGAAATTCAAAAAAATGATGAAAAAGGATTTTAGGTGCACAAAGGCTTCTGTTTAAGGTTGTCTATTTGACTTACCTTTTTTAGAACCAGTTAAACACGATTTTTAAAAGAAGAGTCAATGGAACTTGTTCATGCTGTGGAGGCTGATTGCAACATTAGTAGAGCACATTTATTTTCATCTCTCGTTCTGGTGGGAATGAGTAGTCATTAAATGCCTGAGAAGGAGCAGTGTAAACAGGAAAATGATCCTTTATTTTCTCCTCAAATGATTTTGCTCTCTGATACGTGAGTTGATCTCCACGAGTTCTAATGTCGATGCTGTGGTCTGTATTTCAGATGGCTACACTAGGAAAAGGAGGTCTGCAGAAATACGCACTGCTAGCCCAATCTTCTATGGTTTTAGGGTAAAAACCACAATATTTTCTACTGGTGTTGCCATCATGTTTAGGTTAATAAGGCTCAAACTGATGCCAAGTATTACAACCTCCATGCAAAATGTCAAGCCTAAGTAAGGGAGGAATTAAAAGACCCCAGTGCTGCTCTGTAAATGTGAAGGTGATCCATATTTATGATCCATAATTTTCTTTCTTTACAGACCTCAACGGCTACTGTTAATATAGTAGTGACTGATGTAAATGACAACGGGCCCGTTTTTGATATGTTTTTACCTAAAAACCTCTCTGTCCAAGAGGAGGAAGCCAATGCTTTTGTCGGCCAAGTGAGGGTAAGTCGCTAACTCTGCAGGGCTAAAACTTAATGATATTGCATGAGCAGCCCAGGCCATTGGAGAAGAGCACAGAATAATTGTACCCTGAGGAAGAGGACAGATGCACAACCATAGTCATGGTGCTTCTTTCCAAATTTATATTATTCAGGTTTTTGCCAGCATTTTTTTACACATATCATTTCTTGTTCATTTTTGATGAACTTACCTTACCTTCCACTTTTGTTGCTCGTTTGTGAAGGCTGATTTGATGCACATTGCCCTTTAGGTTTTGGAGGATTCCTCCATATAATTTCATTTGCATGTTACACAGTGTTCCCTGTATCTCTACTCATCTTTCCATATAGCCTGACACCCTTAAAGGTAGGTGCTGCTCTGAAGATGTCCAAACCAAGCTGTAATTTTCCTGGGCGATGACTCAAAGGACTTGAAGGACTTCTGCCTGCTTCAATGAAGACTAGAGTTCTCCTGAAGCTTATTTTTGTTATGCTATAGTAAACCACCAATTACTTCCAAGGGTTTTTGGGGGACCCTTCTGCATGCAGAAATTAGGATTCCTGCAATTAAATCTCTCCTCATAAATTTGTAAATTACTGTCATTCTGGTCGTTTTATGTGGTCGTTCTTCATTATACATCTTAAAATGTATGGATGCAATAATTCAAATCAGTGCTAAGTATCTTTAAAATCCATTTTGTGCTCTGCTGGGTGCCCTCAAGGTGTAATAATCTTCCTGAACACGAGACTGAGTCTATTTTTGGCTCAGATAAAACAATAAAATGAAATATGTCGTTGCAACAGGACCTCTATATCTTATAAATTACTGTAATTTCTGAGTTGTGTTGTGTTGAAACCGTTTAATGAAGCCTTTTGATAGCTCGTTCCCAGTTGGGGAACGACAAGAACTGGTTATATCATTTATTGTCTTGTTTATCACCGCTCCTAATTCTCAGTCTCTGGATGGGGGRAAAAAAAGCTTTCCCTTTATAATGCAAATATTTGGATGTACTTTCTGACGTTTCAAGTTCATAATTGCAAATAAATGGTGCAGAAAGGAGTGATATGGGCATTTGAAATTATTTTCTAGCTTCAGTGAGAGTGTTGAAGCAAAGCTCATTAGCATTGAGGTGCACTTAGGTGGTTTGGGGAAAGTCTTCTTTTAAAAAAAAAAGATAAAAAGAAATAGAATAAAAGAAGATAAGATCTTTCCCCATACTGGCCCCTGATGAGATATATCTGAGKGCTTGTGTCACTGCAAGGATGCTCTCCATGATCTCCATGTCCCTGGTAATCCGGAGCGGTTCCTCCTGACTGGAACAAGACGTCCAGTGCATCCATCCCAGTGGGTGGATAATGTCCCCTCACTGTAGACAGGGAAGGTCTATGGAAATTCCAAGTTACAAAACAGGTTTTTTTGTTGTTGTTGTCTTGGTCCTCTTGCATCCCTCCTTGTTGCATTTCCCTGGTCAGTAGTTTCCCATCTCTTAACATGTGTCTTAATGGACAACTCTTGGATTGGACTTTTGGATTGAGCCTTTTGAATCCAGCTTTTAGATTGGRCTGCTGAGATTTCTGTCACTGGACTAAGAAATTAGGGTTTCCCTGAGCTCACAAGGCAGGATTAAGCTGGGCCTGCAGACTTGGGAATCTATTTTCCAGTTTCTAATCTGGATTTTATTTTCTTGTGGCTTGAATGATTGCCACCACACTCATCACACGGGTAAAATTTCTAACTGTCTTTCACATAAAAACAGCCAGTGCAGGTCTCTCAGTTTAGGGGTTATACTCCCAATGAAAGCAAGCCTATCTCTTTTTAAGTGTTACAAGGTGAGTAGCTTTGGTGAGAGATTCCCGAGCCCCTTAAATCAGGTGTTTGCAGCCATTGCCTTCCTTTGCCATAACAAATTACTCTTAAAAAATGGTATGAAGAAGAAAAGAGTAGCTTGGTCAATAAGGGCCTTCTGTCATCTGCTGAAACACTCCTGTCAATTAGAGGGGACCTTTAGAGTATTTAAAATTATTTGAGTGTGGGATGTTAGAGCATCAAAAAGGGCTTTGAAATGGTGAGGTAGCTGAAATCTGAGGCTATAACCTTGGATTTGGGGCTGGCCTCCCCAGCTGGCCTAGCCTGGCTGTGTGAACCAGGCTGCCAGTGACAGCTCACACACTGTGTCCCCAGCCTTGCAAATACCTTCCTGCACTGTATATCCTGCAGCAAGACTTTGTGCAATAACTCGATACGTTTGTTGTTGTTAACGTAGCCGCTGCCTCTTCTTGCGGTGTAAACCGCCAAGTTTTGTGACGTGCGAGAAATGATATAGCAGAAACATTCAACACGTTTAAAAACACTTGCGTATGTTTTTGGTTTGGCTTAAACAGACAATAGAGACTTTGTGTTTCTTATCTGGAACTTGTGCAAAAGCTGTTGCTGTAATTCTATAGCGGAAGGTATTATTTATTGTTTTTGATTATATTAAAGGTGTAGTTTGAATGTAGTTTAGTACTTTAATGTAGTTTAAAGCTTTCAATTCTTTAAAAGTCATACTAATAAAAATCCATAGAAGCCTTGGTGTGCCATAAGAACAGCTGGAGAGCAGAAAGCGTCATCCAGGTGGGTAGGGGACGTAGATCACATGTCCCCAAAGAAAAGCAGAGGGAAAGCTGAATGCTGGGGAGGTGCAGGTGGAGGTAGAGCGGATGCGTTTCGGCTTTGGGCTGTGACGAGAGGCTGCCTGTTGTGCTGGCTCCTCTCCACAAGCTGCTGTGTCACATTGCAGTCCCCCAGCCCCAGGCCTGAGCACGAGCCCTCAATCCCCTTCMGCCCCATCGTTGTCCACCGCGGGTGTCGGTGGGAGGCCGCTTCTGAAACGACCCTTAATGMTACAATTAATATTGTTGACGTTTACACAGTTGTCGTTGTATTTCAGAACTAATGACCCCTTCGGAGAGGCTTTGGTAATCTGGGTGTCCCAGAATTGTTTTTTCCAGCTGTTTAAGAACTGAGGAAGATCATACGTTACTTTGGGACATCATTGTTCACGTTCAGAAAGTTTTCTTGGTGTTGGAGTGTAGTTGGTGGTTGAAATCTGGTTTTCCCATAGTAGATGGAGGCTGTAGTCTTGTAGACCACATAGACCATAMAAATAAAGCAATGATTTAGTTGCATTCTGAGGTCTCCAGGTTCTCCTCCTTCTCTCATACTTTATAAGCCAGTTCTGTTAGAGATGGTGGTAGTCATGTAGATCTGAGAAGCAGCAGTGGGTGCTAGAGGCTTCTCAGAGGACCACAGAGGAAATGGGATCAGTTGTAAACTAACTTCATCAGCCATGCRTTGATTAAAAAGTTGTGTTATCTATAGACTGGTCATTATGAAGTTGTAGCTTTTACAGCTTATTGCATTGATGTAGAGCAGGAGGAAAGAGGAGTGGAATTTTTCCTATTAACAACTTTAATTAACTTTTAATTGATTTCTGGGAAGATAAATGGTTTCATTATAAAGTCTCATAATGAACACCTTTACTGTTATTAAAGATTCAGAGGAATTTCCTGATGGCTGTTCTGATAACAAAGCCTCCGAATCTCTTGCAGTCCTCCCTGTGGTCCATATTCTCATTTATAAAGGGAAATAACTGCAACCATCTTGCTGATACAATGCCCTTTGCTTAATTCATGTGACGTGATTAATCAGGCCTTTAATTAAGGAGGGGGGAAAAAAAAAAAAAGGATCAACTTTCAAACTGTGTTAGGRATCTACCAACTCTGGAAAGAAAGTTATCTCAATCTTGTCCATCCCTAGAAGGGTTAGTAATTAATAGCAAGGTCTATTTACTGATACTTAAATGTGAGGCTTGGTAGGGTAGGTGAGTGCCAAGAGACCGACGGAGCRAAATCACAACAGGCAGAGATCGGGTTTGACTCTCAGCTTGGTGCTCCCACGTGGGTATGACTTGCATTTAAAATATGCCCTKAACTGCAGTGTTTCTTCCTCCGTTTTTCCAGGCTACGGACGCCGACGCCGGAGTCAACGGGCAAGTTCATTACAGCCTGGCAAACCTCAATCACCTTTTCCGCATCACGTCCAATGGGAGCATTTACACGGCAGTAAAGCTGAACCGGGAGGTGAGGGACTACTACGAGCTCACGGTGGAAGCGACGGACGGCGCCGCCGACCCCCGCCGCTCCACGCTCACGCTGGCCATCAAGGTGCTGGACATTGATGACAACAGCCCCGTCTTCACCAACGCGTCCTACACGGTCTGTGTGCCAGAAAACCTGCCGCCTGGCACCGTCTTCCTGCAAATAGAGGTAAGGGGACAACAGGGAGATGCGTGTTTTTAACTTACGTGGTGAAACGCATTTGGAAACGTCAGGGTATGTTGCAGTTTTTCTTTGGAAAAATTGAAGCGTGCTACTATTGCACTTAACACCTTTTGGAAGGGGGTTTTATTCTCCAGTGTCTTTTTTTCTGCTCTTGGAAGCTGATCGTGTTGCTCCCAACCGTTTTCTTCGCTCACAAAGACAGGACTTAATCCAAGTAATTTAGACAACTGAAATGTCTTGACCCTGTGTTGTAGTCAGTGCAGACAAGTTGCCTCTGGAAGTGGTTASAACTGTGCTTGTCCAAGATGTTCAAGTGAAGCAGGCCCTTGGGGCTGTCCTCATCTTCTCCTCATGGACTATAAAAAATACTTGGAGAGCTAAATGCTCAAGGCTAAGCTAGATATCTAAAGACAGCAGAGAGTCACTTCCTGAAGGAAGTCTACGCGTCATCCCAGTGTTCAGGTCAGCGTCCTGACGAGCAGGGTCTGTCCTCAGATGGCTTCAAGAAGGTGGGTTTGCTCTGAAACCAGCAGCAGATAGACTGTTAGTCAAACAAGCAGTTCAAGTARTCAGCAGTGTGGCGCTCATCATACTGATGGAAATAGGTTTGCCTTTGTGTTTGTATGAAAATGGATTTTCCTACCATTTTTTTTCCCTGTATTGCATTCTCCAGGCTAAGGACGTGGATCTCGGTGCTAACGTTACCTACCRGATTCGCACGCAGGAAGCACTGCAGTATTTCGCGCTCAACAAGTACACGGGAGAGCTGTCGCTCCTCAAGTCCTTGGACTATGAGTCTTTCTCCGACACGGAAGCCACCTTCACCTTCCTAGTGGAAGCCTTCGACAGCAAGGGCACCATGCCCCCCGGTCTTGCTACTGTCACCGTGAGGATCAAGGTGAGAGGGAAAAGTCCTGTCCAACACCCAAAATCTGGGCAGCCCTGCGAGGTGAAACCTGGGAGCCTGGCAGCAGAGCTGCTTTCCTCCTTTTCCCTTTGCAGGAAGCAACTGCCTTTTCCCGACACTGACTAGTGCAGTTAATCGCACAGTTTAGAGCAGCTGTAATTATTCTGCTCTGTGGAATTACGTAGTTAAACCAGGGTGTGTGGATTTATGAAGCAGAGAGGCTGATTTGTGAAGACTCGGCAGATCTAAACAGCTAGCCCTTTAGCATCCCTGGAAGATGGCAGTAAGATTGTTTGCAAAAGTGACGCTGTCATATTTCAGTTAAAGCTCTCATAAATTGTAATTTTATGAACCATTCGGGTGTATTGAGTGCTGATGTGGCACGCTGCATCTTACCTCTGGGTTTCTGCTGCGTGAAATACAGAGCTGCAGAGGAAACAGGCTTATTTAGCACTTTTGCACCATGAGTTGCTTTTGAAGGTGAGCTACAGCATCGCTTTCATCCTTCAGCTCTCTCGCCAGTAATGTGGGGTTGATGCTATTTTGGTTTTTGATGTTGTTCTTTTGAGTCTTTTGTTTGTTTTTGTGAGGATCCACAAATTAAAAATTATTTACAGTTCAGACACGAGCAGTTTTACTACCTGTTTTAGTTTGGTGGCATTGGTCCATTGGGTTCCATTTAATATTTTGAAGAGTTCTATTTGTCAGCTTTGGCTCAGTTATTGAATTATTTGTCTCAGTTATTGAATTACTCAGCTCAGTTCAACTTCGCTGAATAATGACAGAGAAAGGGGACATCTCAGGTTATTGGTGCTGACCACAAAGGTGTAGGAATATTTCTGCAGTGCTTCTCCATCTCAGCAAAATTTCTCAGATTGAGATATGGTGCCAGGGTTTCCTACTCATMCATCCTCTTCCTCAGCACTTTCCAAGTGGATGCAGGAACCAAATAGCTTTTGATGTCATTCCCTGAGCCTTTTCTGTCTATGCACCAAAGGAAGAAGTGGCTCAAACTTTTTCTGGAAAAGGAATTTACTCTCAACATAGCGAATTTCTGAAAGAATCAAAATGTGTTTCTTAAGGCATTTGTCTTCAAATAGGTATGTATTCAGAAAAACAGAAAACCTTTTTTAAAAAGAAAAGACAAAGGTAGAAAATATGTTGTGCAGGCACAAGGTCATCACGTCCTGGGCAGCTACGAGAGTGGGACGGTTCCTGTCATCCGCTCGGTGAGGACGGTCCTCAAAGCACCAAGTCCAGCCCTAGCTCCTGAATGAATGGTGGGGTAGATGATGCCCCTGATGGTACACGGCGTTCTGGATGCTCCCTTCTATGGCTTATAGTTTTTATCCCTTGCATTATTGTCCCTTTACACGCCTGTTGATTCAGAAGGTGTTTTGATGCATGGGGGTGTTTCTGCATGGGAGTGTTTCTGCATATAGATCTGGGCTTGCAACACATATCTATATGTGCAGCTCATACATCCCCATGCATCTCTTCATACGTGGTCCTGCACTGCCCGTACCTGCCCTGTCTTTGGAGTTTCTAGCAATGCCTTGTTGCAAGCTGGGCAGTGAGATGGGTGCTAAAACCCTGTCCATCCCTCCATCTCAGTGCTGGGACTGTTCTGAACATGGATCTGAATGAATTTCCAGATGGAGGAAAACCCAGTGTTCCAGTGAGCATCCGCAAATATCTTGCTATCACCAAACTACCCCAACCCCAGGGATTACTTGCTGTGGTTCAATCCTCCAGCCTTGGTCCTGGCAGATTAGCTGGGGTGCTTGATAGGTGCTTTTTTTTCATTAGAGTCAAAACTTTGAACAAATCTTTTAGGTACATAACTTGAAATGGAAATAATGGCAYCGTATAGGTGAGTATAGATAGCTAAGTTAATGGAGTTAAGGTGTTGACCTATGGATGGTCTTCCTGTGGATGGAGATGAAGGTGTCTTGGCTGCTCACATCTTGTTCCTAGAAGGTTGGGGGGTTCTGAAAAACATCCAGGGATCCACAATCCTCCCATAATTAAAAAATATATAAATAAAGTGAAGCAATCTGATTTTACATGGTTCTCATAGTTTTGGGTGTTGACCTGTATGAGGTTGCTCTCATGCTGTGCTGCTCCCGGAGGCATTTGAGGAGGCAAAGCAGAAGCAACGCCGGTGTGTTGTACACATGCCAGGATGAGATTGCCTGTGCAAAACAGTCCTTGAGTTTATTATTATTGTTATTTCTTCTTAATAATTCAATGGAGTAAATTAACTTCTCGCAAACGGGTCAAGAAGGGGAGGGAGTAGAGCATGTGGTGGCTGGAACTCCATGAGGAAATGCTACTTTGTTTGCATTTAATTCTTATTTTTTTCCCCAAAGCGTATTCCCTTGAGTGCTATTTGAAGTACCTGACTCGTTGCCTCTCATTTGAATTTGATGATCTAAAAGTCTGTTTTAAAATGGGAGGATGGAGGGGGGAAAGTTTGCAGTTTGAACAACTGCCGAGCTTCTTGWATTAATTATCCAATCTGCAATACGTGGATTTGTAAGAGCAATTTTTTATTTTTAATATAGATGTTTATTTTGCTATAATTTCTACTGACAAAATGTGGATGAATGTTTTAAATGACATTTAGTGCAGCACACRAGTGCTTGTTGCATGGGGAGTTACAGCTTCCTTTGAACGGGTTGGAAGCGCCGTTATATAAATTTTGCCCAGATCCTTTGCTTTTAGGTGCATTTGGGCTGATGAGTCCCAAAGCTGAAGTGTGTGTTTTGCTTTAGCAGAGGTGGGGGAAGAAAAATTCAAGTTACGGGGGTGGCTCTGCGAAGAAAGCTGGAAGCCAATTTTTACATTACAATAAGAATTAAGATTGAGAGATACATACTTCTATTTTTTGAAAGGAATATGTAGATAAATTTGCTGGGCTTCACAAGGAGAGTGTTTTGGCCTCAAAAAAAAGAGACTTTCAGGTGACTTGGGACAGGTGAAAACAAAAACTTTTGACTATCCCAAGATCCTGGATGAGAGCTGTAGCTCTGTATGCAGGTCAGTGCACGTTGCCCTACGTTTGCACTTTTTGCCCAGAGAACACTAGTTAATGTATATACTGGCACATACATATGAGTGCATATGCATATACATAATATATATATATATATTTATCTTTCTATATATGTATTTGTAATGGGAGGGAATCGCAAATAGGAAGGAGGGATTGGGCTAGAGTTTGGAAAACCAACCCCAAAGAAGAGCCACAACTGCAAATGTGTCTGTAATTTTCGCTGGCCCTCGAGCCCTGAACTCTCCCTTGTGTTTCGCAGGACATGAATGATTACTCGCCAGTCTTCAGCAAGAAGCTCTACAGGGGAATGGTCGCTCCTGACGCAGCCAAGGGCACCGTTATCACCACTGTTACAGCTGAGGACCAAGATCCCCCGGTAAGCAAAAAGATTGGGTTGCTGCTCTGCACCTCCAAGGCAATCAGATGTCTTGAGTCCTCCTAGGTGACCTAACGTTCACCACACCAAAGGGGACTGTCATGAGTCCTGGTGCTCCTTCCTGGGCATGCAGTGTCTGAGCCAGGTGCAACTGAGTCAGGGATGAAGCCTGAAGCACTTGACAGAGCTGAACCCCTGGTTCTGACTCACTAGCCCTTCTGAAGGGCAATAGTAATTCCTGTAAACAAAAGATGACAAAAATTGGGGACAGGATGACACACAGAGGACAGTAAGCCTCAAAGATGTGCTGCCAGCCGGGTGTAGTTTCTAACTGGCTGTTTGACATCACAAGGAGGATAATCTTGGAAGGAAACTGTTGGGAGGCACCATTTCACACACCTTAAAGGCTGATGGCTGKGATGCGACACAAATGGGCAGTAGCTTAGATGATTTTTTGAATGTACATTTTCAGTGAACCAAGTGCCATGTACTGGAATGCTCTGTTTCAATGTCAGAGAATCATTTTAGCTCCATTTCTGTATCAGTATTTATTTTAGATTCTTGATTATTTTATAGCACAGTATTTTGGCCTTACAAAATACTTAACCCAATGAATCTGTGTGTGCTTGTATATTTTTAATTCTGTGCAATTAGCACATTTCACATTTTCTTAAAAAAAAAAGAATAATCCCATCAACCCATCATCTTTTATGCAGACACGTCTTGCCTATTTCTTTCTGGACTTTTCCCATTTCTAGCAGCTCTTGCTGTTACACAGGTGGATAAATACAACAATTGGATGCAGATGAGCTTGTGTGCTCTTCAGCACGACACAGAATCATGTGTATAGGAGGATATAAAACCCAACTAAAATACTTACTTCTCCCAGATTCCTTTTAGGTGATTTCCTCGCATCTTGTATAGGTTGCAGGAAGTTATGGCAGCAGTTTCTGTGTCTGTGGAGAAATCAATGAACGTGCCTGACAGGCACAAATTGCAAAGTGGGGGACACCGTTTTTTGCCATTGCAACAGGCGTAAGAGCGGAGAACAGTCATGTCATCGTAATGTTTTTGAGATCAACTGTTGCCTTGCTTTGATTTATGTGAATACTGAAAAATAAAGCTAGCCCTTRGGCACAGAAGGACTAAAATAGCCGTAAAGTCCGAAGTTTCCTTTTTTTATATATATATAGTTTTTAAAGTAGAACAGTTTTTTTAAGTTAGTGTTTTATTTCCTGCTGAGGGCTTACAGATTTTGCTAGAAAAGAAGAAGGGAAAAGAGATGACGAGAAAACTATGAACACCTAAGCCTGTTTAGATGTTCTATGCTACCAGCACATTATTTCAAGCTGGCTGTGACATTCAGTGGGGTCACGAGGGATTTGGTACAAATTTGCTAGAAATTTTTAGACAAAATAAGGGCCTTTTGTCCGTCCAGCGGGAGCCCCTTTGTTCAAATTGCCGTAAGGACAAGACTATTATAAAAGGAGAAGGGTGGGTCTGGATGCAGAAGATAGAGGTTGGCCACTCTTGATGGCCTTCCGTTTGCTCCCGAAGACACCGTTTTCTCGCCTTGCCCAGCCCTGAGGCCGCCGGAGTGGGGCTGCAGTTGGTCTCATAGTCTTGCCCTAGGGGCAGAGCAGGTTGAAAGCAACATCTGGAGAAGGTGACCCAGAAGCAGGGCTTGCTCCTTCTCCAGACATAGGCATGGGCAGGGCTGCTGGGAGGCGCCTACGTGGGCCCAGTGGTCCCTCCTAGTCCCCAGGGAGCCAGGGCGGTGACAGCAGTGGCAACAGATGAGGCCACCAAAGTCAACCTTCATGGATTGTCATTAGAAGACAGGTGTAGAGGATGGGTTGTTTGGGGTGCAAAAATGTGTCATGATTACCAATTACTAATGTCAAACCAAAAATCTCTGTGTTAAATTCAGATGATCCCAAGTAGGGGTTTTATGATGGTTTTGTTTTAACCTGTGGATTTTGAAGTGGTCGTAAAATCTTGGCCTGCAGACATGAGAGAGCTCTGATAGTTATTCCTTCAACTCCTTAGTGAAATGTCAATTAAAACTTGGAAATGAATGCATTTTGCTAGCGGCCAAAGTAGGGTTTGAAGGTTCATCTTGAGCAAGTGTCATTTTAAATTCTYATCAGTTTTTTACTTCTGTTATTTTCCAGTTTCATTTCTCTTCCTTTTGCAGTAACTGATAATTGTTCTTTACGAAGTTAGCTTTACATTTTATTTTTTAAATCTAATCTGAAATACCATTCTGGTAATTGAAGTGCAGTAAATTAGATTTGCATGTGTTGCTAATATATGTAATATCAATGTATTTCGTTTATTGCTGCAGTCCATAATACATTTTTTTCCAGTGTTGGGGSGCAGGTATGATAATACCCTCTACCAAAACATGTATTTTTAAGATGAGGAATGAGAAGAAAAGGGAGCTCTGAGGAGAGCAGGACTAAAAGTCTGTAGTTATGGGCATAAGACTGGGATAAAAGAGAAGGAAGTGTCAAAGATGGCAGGAACAGAGGCCAAGAGAAGGGAGGAAGYGAGAAAAACCTGACATTTGCTTTTGGCCACGTTGGTACGTTGGGTTTGAGAGGTGGTGAGTGAGTAGGATGCCTGACCCCAGGCGTTTCTTACTTTCCCACACTCAACTGCTCTTAACATTTAATCAAGCGTAGAGAGTTGATGAGTGTGAGGTAGTGCCCTTTAGGTGGCATATGCCCTGTGGCTCCTTCCAAGGATATCTTGGACTCTTCATGGTGGTGAGACACCTTCACTCCTCCATGCAGGAACAAAGTCACTGTCTGAACCTCTCGAGCGCTTCTGAGCATCATGGCAGTACCCATCTCCRAATGGAGATGCCCATCTCCATTCGGCTTTCATTCATCAGTCTTACCRAATCTATCCATCAGACATGGAGAGGGTCCTCGTGACTGCTCTCTGTCCCTTCTGTCCCCATTCCTTTGCTGTGACATAACAGGATGAGTCCTCTGGATTTTGAGTGGTTGATTTGACTTAAATCAAAACTAAATATATAACGCATATACGAAAAGCATGTCCAAGTTTTTTATTCTTATGCATGTCTTAAGTATTTCTTCACCATGATCAGTGTATCCGTTACTGAGGTGATGAAAGATGCCAGGTAGTTTTAGCTATCTCCTCTAAGTGCCTTTAATCCTCCAAGAATTTACAAGGGAGAGTTTCTTCAGTTATTTGAGGCTTAGATTAAGTAGATGCTTAATTTCCTTATGACCATGTTCTTAGGATTCATATATGCCTTTTTATTATTTTTTTCCATTGAGGTAATCCTTGCCAAAGCCAGGCTGTTTCTTGCCTGCATAGTCTTAATTTATTTTCAATACAACCTGATGCAGACCTCTACTTTTTATGGGCCACCTGTGTCCCCAACTTCACCACATCTCACTGAATGGTTTGTCTGGTCTGGTGACACCTTGTAGCAGTCTGGTGCCATGAAGCCCTTTGGTGAAATGAGACCARTCATCCCTATTGTCTCCTCCTACACACGTGCTGAAAACGAAATGCTCAGAAGATATTTAATTAGAGATTTTGCAGGTATTTGATCAGAGATAAAAGCCATCTGAGCTCAGCCTCTCACAAACGGTTCCTGCTGGATTTGCAAGCACCCGTTGCAGGTTTGTTTAAGGGAAGCTTGCTGTCAATGTAATGAGCTCTTAAAGCTGTTTCGTGTCACAGTCCTAAAAGCTTATGTTGTTTTTGTATGCAGCATGTTACAGTTACTAATTCAGGATTTGCTAGATCAGGCTCTTTCACCAAGCTGCTTAGTAAGGATTGAACTGGTTCAAATTTTAGAGCTGGCRCATGTGACCCTAAGGTTTCTGTGCATAAGTGTTCAGTTCTCAGCCCACAGCTGGTTTGAAGCCCACCTATGAAGGGCAGACATCCTCTTGAGAAGGGACGGAATCACCTGCTCCAGGAAATCCATGGTGTGGCATGATCTCCTTCAAGAAACCGCTTCCATCCCTGTGAGCTGCTCACACCTGAACTGGCCCAATGTGTTTACCCAAGACTTGAGGGACACTGGAGAACCTCTAATCCCAGGGGTTCAGATCCAAAGGAGCAGATGAAAGAGGAGTTCATGCCTCTTCTCTGCCTCTCGCTGCAGAGCTGAGCAGCCTAAACCAAGGAGAGGGTCCTGCTGCTCTAGGGAGGTGGAAATTTTAGTGGTGCAGCAGCAGCTTTGGGAACAGTGGTATCTCCATGTAGTGTCCACAAGGGCTAACTCTGCACCCTCCTCTGCCCAAGCTGGTGCCTGGATACCACAACATTTGGACCATGTTTCTTTTCTGAATCCCATGCAAAGCATTTTTAATCACTGTCCTTTAAGGAGCAGTAATGCTGCTTTTGCAGACCATCAGTAACATGTCCATAAATGAATTCTGGGCCGTGCTTAATTGTCGCTTTACTTGCAGCGTGTTAGGAAGRGCATGTGCAGCCAGCTGTGTGTGCTTGCCCTTAGTGCTCCTCAATAGTTTCCATTGAAATAACTCTACAGTTTGTCCTCGGTCAACTTTCCGTGACGTAAAACACTTCCAGTGTTGGTTGAAACCTATGGATGGTGTGTCTTTATTCGTTATGAATAATGAATACCTAATGGGATTCTAGGTCCCTAATGATGGTACATTTAGATGCGATATTTGTTTTTAAATGTGCACTTTGGGTGTTTTGCACACTCCACAGCTTTTTTTTTTTTCATGCCTGAAGTCACTGCTGGGGTAAAATTCCTGTTAAAATAGCAAGAATGTCGCCTCCAGCTTGCAATGTGTGTTAGAAATGGAGCCCACTTAAATAAAACGTTAACAAATTGTAATTAGTGAATTCTAGAATGGTATCCAAAAATGAGTGAAAAACGAGGGGGGAAAAAAAAGATGCTTGTGGCATGAGTCCTGCTATGTAAAGTCTATTGCTCTGTTGGTTTAATTGCAAATATTGCCTAGTGTATTGGAGTTTTGCTGTTGACATAAGAATGCATCTAAATTAATTCAAAACAGAAGCAAAAGATGATGAATATTTGAGATGATTAAAACTTACTTATAAATAGATTTCCCCACTAAGTCTCTCTGGAGCTTCTCATAATTGTGTTGGTGCCAGAATACAGTAAATGAAAATAAATCTCAGTTTTGTTATTTCCAGAGATGACAGGAGGAAAGCCAACCCAATGGCCATATCAGGAAGAATAGCATGATGTGAATTTTGTTTATTTAAAACCAAATTACCTTGAGTGTGCATGTTTAATGATGATAGCTTTTAGCTTCCCAAGCAAATATGAGGACCATTTCTCTAAACAAAGTAGAGTGGATTTCAGCAGGTAATTTGCCCTTAATTACAGTGTTGATGAACTAAATCCCAGAATGTCAGGGGGAAAGTTGTGTAATCACCGTTGTTACACTGCGATCTCGGCAGTTTCTGGCATTTTCAAGGATTTGCACCTCTTTAATGTGCACAGCCTAGCAAAATAATTTTAACTCTAAGCATGGTCTTCCATATAAGACTTCATCAGTCCTCCAGGTTTATTTGGCAGACCCAAGCTTGGCTTATCACAGGCGATGGCTGCCTAGGAACAGTGTCTTGGGACTGAAACACAGATGCTGAGTGCCCGGTGCACTTGGAAATGCATCCTTCCTGGCCCAAGATGGGATCCTTCCTTCCCGACGGTGCTGTGGGAGGAATACAATGGATACATGCGGAAGCTGTTTGTCAAAAGCAACATTATTTATCTAGGAGGTGGAAATACCTAAAGCAGGTAGCTAGGCTCATATACTGGATGTTGCTGAGAGGAGGACTAGCCCACCTGAAGCACGATCCTGCTTCTGCATCAAAAACCCCAAGAGTCACCAACACAAGCAATGGTCAACTTCATGTTTTAAGTGTTTTCTGTGAGTGAAACATTTTTGTTTTTGTTTTCAGCTGTTTTTCTAACAACTTTCCAAATCTCTGATCGTTTTCCTCATTGAGAGGCTGCTGCTCTTTCACCATGAGATACAGCTTCTCTTTGAGAAGGCTCCTCAAAAACCGCCTGTGTCAGGCAGGCAGGTTGCACGTTGGCTTCACCGTGGTCTGTGTTACTGTTGCTGCCTTTTAAACCTTGACCAGCCTCACAGGGGCGAAGCCTGGGCCAATGGGTTTGGGTTGTTGTTGCYTTGCAGGGCACCCCGGCGAGCCGAGTGCGGTACAAAGTGGACGTCGTGCAGTTCCCCTACAGCGCCAGCATCTTCGACGTGGAGGAGAACTCRGGCCGTGTGGTGACCCGCGTGAACCTCAATGAAGAGCCGAGCACGGTGTTCAAGGTACCAGTGTTGCTGTGGGCTGCGTTTCTTCAGTGCTTGTTTTCCACTGTTGTGCGGGGCTGCGATGTCTACAACAACAGCGATGAGATGGGGTGGTTGGCCAAGCTGGGAGATGGGTCTTGAAGGCAAAGCAAGACTCTGTATCTGCCAAGTACGTGTCTTCACAGTCTTAAGGATGTTCCTAAGAACAAATGAATGGAGAGAGGGAGCTAGAAAACTGTCCGTTACTCCAGAGTTAGCACAGCCAGTCTTAAAAAATTAGACTCTCATCTAGGATTTAGCATCCTAAAGATCCTTTCCAAGACCTGTTGTATGTCCATAATTTTTCTTTAGGTAGGGAATTCTTACCCGTTTCCCCTTCCTCTCTCTTTTTTCTTTTTTTTTTTTTTTTTCCTGTGTTTTTCCTCTCTTTTTATGGGTTCACATAAGTACTTTTTGACTAGAAAAGTACTCCACTGCCTAAATGTAAAACTAAATGGTACTCTTAAAGAAGCTGAAGTTGTCTGTGGAGTTTGTACTTGAGGGCGATCAGTAGCTAGACATGAAGGTGGAAAAATACAAAAGTCAGGTACGTTAAGCAGTCATTGTATTTTGAAAATGTGTTTTACAGAGGACAGTGCAATTTGAATTCCAGTTCACCATGTTTTGGTTTATTTAATAGCAGATGGTTCAACTGGTGGTTTGCAATGCTTTCCCCCCCCCCCCCCCCCCCCCCCTTTTTTTCCTTCTGTTGTCCAGCCATTCTTACCA